GAAGAGGTTCATCTCCCCATTTCTGACTCTCTTTTTAAACTCACAAATCTCAGTCTGTTTTGACCAACCACACACGCCAAACTCATGAAAAAGAATTGTTTTTGACTAACAGGTTTCATGTGTGTTACATATTTTCTAAATACTTAAGTTCCACTTTGCAAAATATAGTTCTGAATTTTCCTAAGAAGGTATTGAATGCCACATTCTTATTATGCTTAGAATGCCCAAAATGTCCAATTTGATGGACTCCATTTATTAGAATAGCAGTAGCACAGAGATTCCATTCATGGAGTAAATGTGGCCTTTCCTTTGGGCATTGAAGGCTACAGATGATTGCTAAATATATATATTTTGAATTTGCAAATCCCAGTAAATCTTTTTATGTATAAAGCTCATATTCTTAAGAGAGGGAGACAGCATAAGCTGTGGATTTTGCTCTGTTTACAACTGTGAATACCGAGGCCAGTTTTTAAAAGTCAAACAAGTCTGTGAATATAACAGTGAGCGAAGCTCAGATGAGAATTTAGGTCGTCCCTACACCACCATATTTTGTTTCAACTGAGAAATGGGAATATGCTGCTAGTAGTTTTAAAACTGTAACACCATTTCATCTGAGGGAGTTGTTACCAGCAATGGCAAGTTATGAAAGCCAATTTCTTCACTAATGATGAAGAAACAAGGGTCTCAAGATCGTCCCTGAGAGTGATAGGCATTTCTAGAAAGAAGGGGAAAAGACACAGGAAAAGATACGATGAAACAACTACTGAGAGAAAAATAACCTTGAAATTTAAACAAAAACAAAAAAACTTAAGTCTGCAGATTGAAAAGGGTCACCCAACACCAAGCAATGTTAATGAAAACACTCACAGAACTAGGCACATCCTAGTGGAATTCCTGAATTCCAATACTGAAATGAATAGCTTACAAGATTCTAGGGGAAAAAAAAATTTAAGTTACTTGCAAAGGAATGAGAGTCAGACTAGCATGGAACTATTCACCCGCAACCCTAGAGGCCAGCAGACAGTTGATGAATACCCACAGACTATTAAAAGAAAAGACTGCTGTTCGGGCATCCTATTCCCAGAAAAGGTATTGGTCACCCTCAGAGTGAAGGAAATAATGGAAGTCTTCTGATCATTGGATCAGAACAGGGATAAGACAAGAGCAGGTGGCCGGAATGATGCTGCCATGGAAAAGAGGTGAAGTGGGTGTAAAGAAAGAATTCTTGAACCAGGAGAGAAATACTGTCGGAGGAAACTTAGCAATGATCGACAAGTTTTCAGTTATTTCAGAAAAAAAAACCCATGCATGGGGCAGGGGTGCACTACCAGGAAAGCATGAGAATGGGAAGAGAACATTTAGAAGTTCTCATGTCACTGGAGGGCTGGGGAGCAAACACATCAGGCAAGGCCATTGTCATTATTTACTTTACTGCAATAATAAATAAATGAACATTCTATCAAGCTGCTCTGAACACGATAATGACTTATTCAACTAAGAAGTGTGTAGTCAACCTTCCAAATTACAGAGGGCAGGAGGGGCGTTAAAAGAAACTTCATCATACCAACAAAAATAAGAGACGCCTACAACAAAGGAAAATAAATAGAAATAAATACAATGTTGAAGAAATAAAATCAATATAGATTTAGCTTGCTGAGCGGGAATGGCCTGAATTCATCTATTGAAAGAAAAGTGGGCAATGTGGATTTTTAAAAATTCAGTATGAACACTAGAAGGAGGTACTAGGAGGAGCTCAAAGGTTAGCACAGCTCTGCAGCTCCACAGGTCTCATCCTGAACTCTGGAGAGGAGCAGGTGCTGGAGATGCCAAAGGGCTGTTTTGCCTGAGGTGCTGGAATTCAGGAACCACTGCTTCACTGCCTTGGTGACAAAAGCAAGGCTCAATATTTGCAAAGTTGGAGTTAAAATTAAAACCATTCACTTTCCCCATCAGAATTCTGCTTAGAAGGTGCACGCAGGAAGCCTTCCATAACCAGGTAAATTACCATAAGGGAAGAGATGGTCAGCTATTCCAATACTGGGTAGCAAAGGACCAGGTGAAATTTCACACTGAGATGGGAATGGAGGGTAGAGTGGCAAAGAGATAGACAGTAGTGTTTCCTGCCGCCCTGGTTTAACATTCTAATTCCTTAAGGTCTTGCCTTATCGTTAGCAATGACAAGCATTTTAATAATTTAACTGTACTGATGTACCTAGAATAAACCAGTCAAACCCTGTGCTTAAAAAAAAAAAAAGGCTCAGAATGAGCCTAAGGGTTACCCTCGCAGCTCCTGCCTAGAGCACATCATGAGACATGCACATTTATTAAGCACCATCTGATGTTGGATCATTCCCACTCCATGGCTTTCAAAGTGGTCTTTCCCAAACCAGAATTCATTAGGTCACCTGCATGGTCCCCATTGCCCAAAGGTCTAGAAAGAGTGTCTTCCAAATGCAGAGTGTCGCATTTTTCCCTCTTTTTTACAATGAGGAGCCTCCTGTTTTTCCAGAATCATTAAAAGAAGATTACTTTGTTAAGTTTGACATTGAAATCAATGGAATATTGGGAACCACCAAGACTTCTGACCTCTTAACTCACCAACCAAATAACAAAACTGATGAGAATTTCTCTCCTTTGAGATTGATGTTATATCCCCACTACTTCAACATGGTGGGAAGGAATGCCAGACATATTTGAATTCTAATCTTGGTTCTGCCACTACTTACTGTGTAACCAACCCCTTAGCCTTTCCTGGTCAGAGAGTCTTCAAACATTAACTGAAAGTAAGAATATCTACCTCTTCATGGGATGAAAAAGCCTACACTGTTAGGAGGATTAAAAATATGCCAAAGGAAAGGAACTGCAAGTGCTTGGTTTACTTCAGTTTGGCTCTTTACTTTGCATTTAGAGACTTTGAAAATGGTAATTGCTGGGTAATGCAATGTGATGATATTTTGTTAGCAGTTTACTATCTCTGCCTAGCCATTCACGCCCCAATTTTGCCACCTATCAAATAGGAGAACAGCTTGTCACGTGGCATGGTTTTCTGTGTGATGAGCGTGAACATTAGTTTTATTCAATCAGAATCCAAGATAAATGTCATTGCAAAAGTACAATTTATTCATCAGCTTAGTCTGACAACTAGAAATAATTCCACTTAGACTGGATCTATCCTTCCCCAGTGGTAACACCATTGCTAATTCAAGTCCCCTCAGCACAGTATCACCACCATAAATACCCAGATGGGTTTGGCACACTGGGATGTTTTTTGGCAGTACAAACAAACCCTTCAATGACTTGAACCCATGTTCTTGGGAGAAAATCCAAAATCCTTCAGGTGGAATATATGGTCTGAATGGTCTAGCCTCTGCTTTCCTTTCTGGTCTCCTCTTGCATCATCCCCTACCTCTTCTCTCTCTGTACTCAAGCACATCCACCTTCTTCCAGCTTCCTGATTGACTTCATTCCTTCCTGCCACAGTTCCTTTGCACTTACTCATTTCATAATAGGGAATGTTCTTACCAACCCTCCCACCGTTCTTCCCATTTACTCCTATTTGTCCTTTAAATTTTAGCTCAAGTGCTACTTCCACAGGAAAGGCTTGGATGAACCCAGTCCCCAACCACACCTCCACACCCACCCAGTCTACACAAGCATCTTTGTTACATCCTCTGATAGAATTGAGTTCTGTCTGTAATTGCCTTTCATTCATGGGATGATTTGATTGAAGTCTCTCTCCCCACCATTCAGTTAGCTTTGTGAGGGTAGGGACAGATCTGGTTTTGCTCATCGTTGTACACATGGCACTAGCACAGGACCAGCTGCATGGCATGTGCTTGGTGCTGAGTGAATGAAGGGATGAGTGAGTGAATGAATGAATGAATGAATAATCAGTTCCGAAGCTATTCACTTGTTGCTCATGCTGCTAAAGGATTTCACTAGGTTGTAGAAAAGACATAGTTAAACAAGCCAGCAGCCCCAAACTGCCCTTGGGACTGAGACGTAGACTCTAGTCCCTCATTCCTCTTTCCCCTTAAGGGCATTGGAGCCACCTTGAGCCTCCGCGAAATCAAATATTGGACCAATGTGCTTTTTTTTTTTTAATTTTTTGGGGAGAAAAATAAAGGCTACCTACTTCTGGTACCACTGCAAAATTTATTTCTAAACAAGATTATATCTCCTAAAAGTTTTACTTTCACATTTCATTTTAGTAGAAATTCCCCATTTAGTATAATTCCACTTTGCTTTTTCCTAACCTCAAGCACATGATTCAGAGATAAAGATAAAACAAAAATAATAGGAAATGTATCAAGTAAGAAGCAGCAGAAACATGTATATTAATTTAGTTGTAAGTAGCATAGTTTCAACCGTTCAAATGGAGTCTAATATACGCCATCTAAGAGAAAGAACTGAGGACTTTAGAATGTTTTCCGTTTTTATTTTTGGTTTTGTTTTTTTTTTAAATGTCTACCAGGGCTAGGGAGGGTTTTTACATCATCCACTACTCCCTGGCCTTTTGGAAGAACCCTGACATCAGTGTCAGAAAAAACTCTATGGCAGCCTGGACGTTTCTGACAGAAGACCAACCAGATATGATTAAAATCAAAATCCTTCTTTTCAAAGCCCTTCCATTTTAGTTTCTCCTTCAGGAATAGTGTCCAGCCCCAGTGCCAGGACTATTTAATTTTCATTCTGTTGACAAAAGTCATTTTGCCTTTCATCTTTCTCTGAGAACAGTAAGTCACTCTCCTGCTTTATCCACTAACAGGTAACTTCAAGCAGGTAATTTAAAATTCTAATGGTCTGACGAGACATTTTTCTTCGTCTTAAAACAGTGACATAAAGACCCATAGCCGTGGGCTTGGGCTCCTCTGCAGTTGTACTTACTCTGTAGGGAAAAAAAAAAACTTTCTGTTTGGTGCCTAACTTTTCTACCTTTGATTTTTCTTTACATTCACTCGAGTTATAATTTAGTAATAAATATTCAATAGGCCACTTACCTGTGAGAACTTCAACTTGGAAGCAGAGGAGAAAGAAATACCAGAAGTCTGACTTCATGTTTGCCAGAAGCAAAGGCAGCTCTCTCCTTCAGGGCTCGAAGCTGACAGTGTGTTCATGTTCTCACTATTTTCTATTTGCTGGTAAGGAAGTGGGTTTTGTGGGGGTTGATGTAGTGTCACACTTACCATCAAGGTAAGGAGGTGTCTCTTAACTGATGTCAATGGCTCTGTTGCATTTTTGCTTATGGGGGATAAGTTTAATCCATGGATTTCTGGTGATTTTGAAGACAGAGGAAAACTTTACCCCCATTCTATTTCCAAGAAAACAAGTGAAAGAGACAAGGCAATTCTTTTCACCCTGTTCCTCTGAATCAATAGTTATTGGTAATAACATGATCTAAAATTAACCACATGGCAAAGAGCATACATTTTGACACATTTCTGTCTTACGCTATTTGCACCAGAAATAGAAAGCCTTTGAAATAAGACAAGAAATAAATAAAATTATTACAGAAATTGAAATGAAGCTATCTGAAGGAGAGGCAACGTAGGAATCTGAGGAAGGCTATTTACATGGCATTCATTGTAGGCTGTAATTTTCCAAGTGATGGGGTCAGTTTTAATCTAACTTAAACCCCACTTTGCATAGCACACAAGGGTCTGTAGAAATTAGGGCATCTGTACCTCTAGCTTTGGATGAAAGCAAAGAAGTTGAAAAGACTACTCATGGTCTCTCTATCCCTGCAGGGATCTAGAATACACAATAATAACAGTAATAGTACTATGAATAATTGTGTTTATATGTTCATAAACTTTTAATGAAATAATACACGTTAATGCAAAACAAGTATAAAAATAAATGTAAAATAATGTGTAATATATTAAATATGTATAAAATACAGTATGAAAAGAGCTAGTATTATATTTATATTGTTTCACATTTATTTTAGTGAATTATTTATATATATAATATATAATGTTTTATACATGTATTAATTCATTTAATATTATTTATATATATAATATATAATGTTTTATACAAGTATTAATTCATTTAATCCTCTTAACCATCCTATGAGATGGAGATTACTAATCTCCTCATTTTACAGATGGGGGAAACTGAGGCACAGAATGGTAAAGTACCTAACCCAAGTCAGATAGTTAGTAAGTGGCAGTGCTAGGGTTTGGAAAGTCTGGCTCCAGAGTTCTCACTCTTAACCAAGTAAGTGGAACCATTCACGCCAAGCCCTGCTGAGCCTCCCATCTAAAGGTCTGAATCAGCTTGCAGCATGCTGGATCCAGGCTGGATTTCTAGGGAGTAACAGGGCAGAATCAACACTCAGCCTGCAGAGCTGGCATCAAGATGAGAAGCCAGACAGAATCTGTTGGGCAGGGCAACCAAGGGGTCCATTCATAATGTCCAGGCTCTGAAGCAATATCTGGGGTTGGGGTACAAAAAGCAAGGAGGGATACTGGACTGGAGCCAAGAAGTTCCAAAGGTATGGTAGGAGGCTTATCTTGCAGTGATTTCCAAGCTGCTACAGCTTCCCAGGTACCTGTTTTAGGGGTCCTGGGCCTCCACCATGGGTGTGAAAGAAGTTCTTTGAAGTGTACAACCTGAGTGGTACAGGCAGGGCCACCGAGAGCCCTGGGACCCCCTGCCCCTATTCCCTCCTCTCCTGCTGCTCTGCCCTTGGCGGCGTCAAGCAGAGATGCTTCCAGACCCATAGTCACTGAATCCTAGACCAGTATAGACAGGCAGGAGAGAGCAACTGACTTTTTCTAACCTAACTGTGGCCTAGCTCTGGAATTAAGTGTGGAGAGATTTCACTTCACTTGCTAAAAGCTGCTACAAATTCTAGAGCTCAGCTGCAGTGTCGCAGAGGAAAACAGGGAGGGAACCTAATCATGAATGTTTATTGAGTGTGTACTATGTGCCAGACACTGTCCTTCACATCAGTTATCTCATCTAGTTCTCACAGCCACTCTGTGAGGTAAATCTCAACCCAGATGAGGAAACTGAGAGTGAGAGAGATTAAGTAAATAGCCTAGGATCCTACAGTCGAAAAGCAATGGAGCCAGGTCACACACAGAGTGAAACTCTGAGTTCTACACTTTTTTTTTTTAAGTTGGAAAGAGAAGAGTATTTTAGTAAACTTTTCAGATAATTAATATTTTTTTCTGTGATACTACACCAAAACTCAATAGGTGGTAATTCCTTCATAGTTAGTTGCACTCTTAATTACCACACTACCCTCACATGCTGGTCTTCATTTATCTGGCCAGAAATGACAGGTAACATGATTTGGGGACCTCCAATTTTGGTGGAAGAAGGGTACTTAGGTCCTAGATGAAGTTCCAAAATATTTGAATGCGAAAGAGATTTCTTAATAAAATTAGGTGCAATGTTTCCTCTCGAGGAGTGAAAAGTTACACAAGTTATGGTTGGGTTCTGCTTTAGATCAATTGGGCGTGTGTGGTATTGGTTGTTATGAATTCATTTGCTTTTTCCCAACCAACACACCTCTCTGTGAGACGTTTGGTGGAAACCGATCTTAAAGTGGAGCAGGCCCTGCTTCCATGTAGATGATGCTTTGTGTCAAAGACCCGCCTAAGTGATCCCTCCTCTGCCTCCTCTTCTCAAAAATCTCAGTTCAGAATATAATCACTTGTGGTTTTACTCATTCAGAACTACTTTTCATCTACCTGGAAAACAAACTGGGCAGAAGTTTCCATTCACCCCACAGGAAGCACTTTTTGTTTGCTTTTATGTTTTTCACTTTTTTTCATTCCATGACTTAAGAGGGTTTTGATTTGTGTGTGCAGATGCCTGAGGTGAGGGTGGGAATGGAAAGTCTGTTACATAAAAAGTGCAGTGTTTATTCCTTGCCTTGCAGACACTGGAGTTGGTGAGGCTATGCGCTTGCTTTTTTGAGGTTCCACAGGTGAATATCTTGCTTTTGCTTTGCTTGAAACCTACTGAGAGCAACAGTTGCATGTGTAGGGTAGACCACACACCAAGGCCACTAAGTCCAAACACCTGGGCTAAAAAAGACCCCAAAAGGATCTATGCTTCACCTGAACTTGGTTTGCCCACCTGAAATAGGAAAAAAGCATTGGAAGAGAAGGGTTCTTCCTGATGAAAATTATTTCTTCTCTGTCCCCTGTTGTTGAGTGACACTGTCGTCCAGACAGCCAGGAACCTGCATGTCACTGCTCCGCTAATTCACCAATAAGCCTTATTACCCTACTTCTTAGCTGTCTGCCTCGTCATTTTTCTTCCTCTCTTGCCTCCAGCATCTCTCTCCTGATCTTTCGGTTCCCACTCTTGCCCAGTTTCAACCTGTCTCAAGACTACAACCAGGACAAATCAGCTTTGTAAAATATAAATCTGATTCACCTGCCCCCTGCTTAGCAGCCTCTACCAGCATCCTGCCAGCCTTAGATAAGGCCTGAACTCCTTACAAGACCCTTTACAACTGGGTTCCAAGTCAGCCCCAGATCTTGCCACATTTGTTTTTTCTTCTTCCTGCACCACATGCTTCAGCCATATTGAATGACATGGCATTCTCCAAAGTCCCCAAGCTAACTCTTCCTCTAACTGCCAGGAGCCCACTTCTTGTCCCCACGTCCCCTCCTCACTCACTCAGCCTCCCCTCTTCTGCAGAAATCCTACCATTCTTCAGGCCTTGGCTTACACACCCATCCATTCATCCAAGAAGACTTTCCTGATCCAGTCACTCACCACCAACCACTTCCATAGCTAGAGTCCATTGGGTGGCCTTTCTGTATCCTCTGAAAGTCCCCCTGTGTCCCTCATTCTAAAATTCATCATATTACCGCAGCTGCCTGTTTGCTTGCTCTGTGAGCAGCACCAGAGAAAGGATTGAAGATGCCTTCTCTACAGCCATGTCTTCAATGCCCCACACAGTGCCCGGGACAGAGTAGATGCTCCATAACTATTTGTTGAATGAATGGGTGTTGAAGAATCCTTGACTTTAGAAGGAATCGTAATTTACCTCAGGAACAATCACCCACCAGTTAACACTTTGCTCTTTGAATGATAATCTGAGGACAGAAAATTTCAAGATGTGTTTGTATTTCACATTGAAATTAATTCAATGATATAATAAAATTCATCTCTTATCTGATCACTTGCCTATCCCTAATCATCAAGCAAAAAGAACATTCCATTTTAACAGTCAAACAATATTTTCTCATTTAAAAGTTATCAATTCATCCATAAGGCCCAGAAAACTAATTGTACATTTCCAGTAATGGGGGAAAAAAAATCACAGTGTAAAGATGTGACTATGAAGTGAGATAGCTGATATTTTTTTTAAAATACCCCAGCTAAGTCACTTTGGCAGCAAAGCCTTCATTCTGATGATGGTGCCATTGCTCAAAACATTATAAAGCCCCTCTCTGGGTCCCCTTCCTTCCAGACTCTCCAGGGTTCTGGCTCCCTCAGTCCGTCCCTCTTTTGCTCCTAGACTGCCTTTCTCTAGCACCTTCCCTTCCATTTATAAGCATGCTAGAATCTCTTCAGTCATTAACACATGCAAACACATTTCTTCAGATCCTGCAACCCCTGCCATCTACTTCTCTCTCTTCTTTCTTAGTAAAGAGAAGTCTACTTCCTAGAAGTTCTTCAACCCACCACTATCATTTCGCGGAAACTGCTTTCCCTAAGCCCACTTGTGAGCCCTGCATTGCCAGCTCCAACCAGCACTCCCCATCTGTCCCTTCTTGGCCTCCCTGAATCATTTGATGCTATACTGACTTTACATTGACGTTATACTTACTTTATCTTGAAATCAGTGTCACCCAGTCCTGACTGAGTTACTGGAACTAAAAGCCATTCTGCTCTGTTAGGTTACTTTGCTGCCTCTACTCTAATCTATTCTATGTTGAATAAAGTCTAATTCTCAGAAGGAAAGCTTTGTCTTCCTAATATCAAACATTTCATCAAAGCCCCTCTGTGGTCTGAATCAGAGTGATAGGTCAGAATCATCACTCTCCTTTTTAACCTCCATTTCTCCATTTCCTGTCTCTCCTCTTTGCCAGTTCTTCTTTCTCTCTCCTCCTAAATTTTGATGTTGATATTCCCCAGAATTTGAGCTTCAGTCTTCTGCTTACTCTTTCTATATACTCTATCTAAG